CGCTCGGATCGCATCTGGGTGCAGTACAGGCTAACCACCGTACGCCCGTCTCCTCTCTTTCTAACTCCCTCCGCCCTACCCCCCATTCCCGGTCATGCGGGCTGGTGGGAACCTAGTCGATGGCTGTAAACTCCGGTGTGAGTGAGATAGTCAAGAAACCCGGCCCTCAGCTGGGAGCCTGAAAACACCGGATCCCATACCGAACTCCGAAGTTAAACAGGCGGGTCCCCGTGTCAAAGCGGGGTGGGTAGGGCCCACATTTTTTTCATTTTTCATAATTGTATAGGTAAAGTGAGTCCGGCTCTAAGAGGTATTTTAACTACCGGTTGCACGGAGGTGATTCACGTCTAAAGCTTAGTGCTACACTGCCGCACTGCCCGTAAGGCGCTCTGGCCACCTGGGGTAGGCGAACCCGCCAGTCGTCGTGGTTATGCTGTACCGCACGCAGGCGTGCGTGTTGCCTACCTGCATTTTCCGTTGGGCGCTACGGCCCCCTGGGGTAGGAAAACCAAACGTGCGGTAAAGTATTCCTGCATATAACTGCACCGCACAAAAATCAGAAAAAAGTGAAAAAAAAATATAGAAAAAAGAAAAATTGGTTTACGCTTGTACTTCTAGTTAAGGTCTCCTCGGTTGAAGCTCGAGCAACCGGCGGCGAGTTTTTTTGGGGAGGGAGACGGGAGTGCAGGCTTACGGGGTGGCTGTCGCTGTGTCGCATGTCGGGGTTGCCCGCCACGTGCGCCGAGTCCTGCGGCGCCCGCGCGTGGCCCCGCGGGTGGTCCTGCCCGTCCGGCGACAGGTTCTTGCCCAGCAAGTGCCTCACCAGGTCGCGGCTCGCCTCCGAGGGCTGCAGCAGGCTGCTGTCCTGGACACTGCCGGCCAAACAGAGTATACCGCGGTGTACAACGAGCGCGGAATAAGATGAAAAAAGCAAACGAGACGGTAAAACGTTTCCGGCCTCACGTGTCGTGGTCCATGACGGGCGCTCCCCAGGGCTGGAACTCGACGGACGGCGCGGGGGTGGCGGCCGTGAGCCGGTGGTGGTGCACGACGTGGTTGCTCTCCTCGTTGTCGCTGTGGCCGCCGGAGGACGAGCTGAAAACCACCAATTGTCATCAGTTTGTTGGTGCCAATGATAGCCAATTTTTATTGTCAAATGCAAGTAGTCGTCAGCTGGTTCTAAAAATGATCGTCACTTGCCCAGCGTCCATTGTAAAAGCGGTCTCGTGCCTAAAGTCTATTTTCAGTCGGCCAGTCTGGTGGCTATTGCCGATTACCAAGCGTCAGGTGCGCTCTCTCCCAGCTCCCGTCCCCGCTCACCTGCTCCCCTCGCTGGACCAGGAGGACAGCGCCCGGAGCCGGGCGGCGTAGAGCGCGGCGCGGCGCTGGCGCACCGAGCGGCTCCACCGCAGGCGGGGGTGCTTGCCCGGCACGCACCTGCGCACGGTCAGCAAAGTAAGTGCGGCAATAAGGCGTGAACAGTAATAACGGCAAAGAAATAAAAGCGTTCAGTTTAGCAGAGAGAGAGGTCAGAACAATCAAGGAAGGCCAAGGTGACGGTCGGAGTGCATCGACACGTGAGAAGACTAAATTTAGACGCGGGGGGCACGTTGCAGCCGGGGGCTGTTAGCACGCGTCGTGGCGTGGCGGGGCGTGGCGTGGCGTGGCGTGGCGTGTCGCGGTCAGACCGCGGGCCGCGGACGGGCGCACCGGGAGCCCCGCGGTGTAGAGCCGCCCGGCCCGCGGCCAGGACCTGTTAAGCGCGTTAAGGCCGCCCATATTGACGTCACACAACAAACACGTGCACTGGAAATTAAAGTGCAGGAGACTAGGCAAATTCGCGCGCGGATTCACCAACATTTTGTTTTAAAGAAACAGGAGTTTTGAGATGGGACATGTTTCGAGCCAGCAGGCGCGGTCTCACCTGGGCAGCTGCTTGGGGCTCCAGTCGCCGCTGAGGCAGGTGGCGCCGGGCGGGCCCTCGGCCAGCACGTAGCCCCTGTCGCAGTCGTACATGATCTGCTTGTTGTTGGTCACCTTGCGGACGTACGGCCGGTAGTCGTACAGGCCCATGTTGCCGACCAGCATCACCTTGCCGTTCTCGACGTAGCCGGGGAACGGGCAGTACACTGCAAAAAGGACAGGGGGGATGAGGTTGGGAGCGACTCGCCAGTCAGTACGACGGAGGGGCGGCCCCTCGGCCCCTGGACCGTGCCCAGTGCGAAATGCCATGTCGGAAGGCTATCGGAACGATGTCAAAACGACAGAAATCGCGTCGTTTCGACCTTGTTCTGATAACCTTCCGATATTATTATTTCCGACGCCATGTCGCTCTGGGCGGCCCGTCTCCTCACCCTCCTCGCACTGGGGGATCTCCCCGGACCAGTTGCCGTAGGAGCACTCGGTGACGTCCTGGCCGCGGAGCGTGAAGCCGTCCCGGCAGGCGAAGCGCGCCCGCATGCCGTGGTCCGTCTTGGGCGCGATCACGTAGCCGTTGCGGGGCACCCGGGGCATGCGCTTGCAGCGCGCTGCACACGATGCAATCCATGCCGCGTGCACACAGACAGACAAGCATCCATGACCATGGTGTGGCGAGCACAGAGCGTCGGAGAGGTGCTCTGCCCTTAACCAATGCGATGCGATCGACTCCCCCCTGCCGCTTTCGTCGTCGTCGTCGCTGTCCTTCCCAGAAAAACTGTGCGGCCTAAGGAGTAATGTGAATTTGAACGCGAATGTGAATGTGGCTGGTCCCCTTGCCGCCTCCAGCGGGGCTCTGGCGCAGGCTGGCGCGCCGCCAACCTGTTCTCCAGCAGCTCCGCGCCGCTCGGGCCCGGCTGAGGGCATCGCTATTCTTTCCTCCAGTTCCACGAATGAAGCCATTCATCCGCATTACCGCCGCCATTCCAGCCGCGGCTGGAGCGGGGGAGCTCCACAGCAGTGTGGGGAGCTCCGGCAGTCTGGTCATCACCATCGACCATCGGTCTCCGCCAAGCATCCCCAGTACCACCGCCAGCCCGAGCGCCACCACCAATACCACTAGCACTGCGTTCCCACTCCGGACAGAAGGGCCCCAGAGACTCGCCAGTTAGGTCCTTTGAGAAAACAACTTTACTTCGAGCTCTTTCCTCCCCCACCACCCCGGCGCTGCCAATTGCCCTACCTAGCCCCCCCCCCCCCTTTTCCACACTCACACACACACACACGCTCATACATAACAAGCAAACAAAACAAACAAAATACACGAGAACGCGAAGGCTTAAACGGATTCATCCATCCATCCATCCTTCCAACAACCCACCCCAGACAAAGAGTTGATCAATTATTATTGTCAATTATTCACCAACACACAAAACTTTATTACTCTCTGATAAAAGAACTATGAACAATTATTGCTAAAACCTGGTGAATCTGAGTTTACCTGGCTGGCACTTGGGTATCTGCGTCCAGGTGCCGTTGTTGCAGAGCACGGGCGTGCCGTTGTTGAGGAACTCGTAGCGCGGCTCGCAGCGCACCATGAGCTGCTCGCCGTGCGGCACCGTCTGCGCGCCGTCCGTGCTCATGGTGAGCGGGTCGTCGGTCGAGTTGCTCATCACGCCCCGCGGCCACACCGTGCCGTTGATGATCTTGGGCACGACGCACGGCGCTGCATGCAGACGGGGTGAGCGGGCGGGCGGAGGACAACGGCACAATGCGACAACAAGCAGGTAATGTGAACGAGAAGCGGTGAGCGAGGTTACCGAGGGGTCCTTGACTCAAAAAATTCAGTGTACACCCTTAGAAAAATCACGAAAAAATCATAAAAACTTAATCAAAAATCACGAAAAAATCATAAAAAAAATCATAAAGAAAATAACGAAGAGTGAGAAAAAAATCACAAAAAATTACAAAAAATTACAAAAAAATCAAGAAAAATAGAAAAATCGGTGCACGCTACAATTTATAGTGAAGGACCCCTCGGAGGCTACCCCTAGAGCGGGACTCGGGTTAGGCACCCCCTGGTATGGGCCCAGAATTAAGGAATCATCCAGAAAGTACGTCCGCAATTCGCCGTTTCGAGCCTGCCAAGTTTAGCGTCGGCAAGGTCTCATAGCGCCTGATAGGTAGGCACCATCTCGCCTTCAGCGCATGCGCGTACAGCGGGGTGGCCTACCCTGTGTCTCGCAGGCGCCGAGCTCTTATCATTCACGGAACGCGGAATGAATAAAAAGTGAAAAGCAGACGTACTTTCTGTACAATCCCTGTTACGCGACGCAAAGTGACACTCAAGGTGTACACTTAAGGTGACACTGCTCAAGAAGCACTGAAGGTGGCAATCACAGTGTCACTCAAGTAGGGAAGCGAAGTTGGAAAGAAAGCAACTAAAGGTAGACCTCGAAGGTGGCACTCATGATAGCGGCGCTCATGGTGACCCCCAAGGTGGCACTCAGGGTTGCATCCTCACCCAAGATGCCATTCTCCCTAAAGGAGGGGTAGCTTTCAGCCCGCTTTCAGCAAAGCTAATCAGGCCGATAGACAAAGCCAGGCTCATGACAGTGCATCACACGCGCTCAGCAAGAGTGAGGGAGAGACGGATCCGGTTTGATTCCGCGCCGAAAGCAAAAGCCTTTCTCCCGTGAGCCAGCTGAGAGAGCCTTTCTCTGTGAGCGCGTGACCGGGGGGTAGGTTTGCGGCAGTGAAGCTAAGTGAATGCACTACAGGCTCACCCATGCAGCGGGGTGTCGGGTAGCGCCAGTGGCCGTCGATCTGGCAGACGGACGAGGCATTCCCCTCCAGGCGCATGCCCTCCTTGCAGCGGAAGATGACGGAGGCGCCCAGCAACGTGCCTCCCTCTAAGTTCTCGAGCCATCCGTTGTACAGCGGCCCGGGGTCTCCGCAATTGATCTCTACATGTCATTTGTTTCAAACATTGTCCATTGTCAGTGAATCTGTTCCATTACCCCGTTTCTTCATATGTGATAAATGCTCTTTTTCTCGTCTTCGTGCGGTAAAAGTCGCCATGCGTGCCTCGCATGCAGACCTCTCACGCATGAGCACACTGTAAAGATATTAGAGCGCAAACTTTACGGCTTTGTATTTTTAAATTACAACAGAAAAAAAGAGAGCTTTGGCTGATGTCATTGTTGCCAAGAAGCCTTTAAATTAACGCTCTATATACCGAACAGTGTGGATCTAGGAAAGAGGGTAGTGTTGGAGTGCGCTCTAACTTAGAAGTGCGCGGAGTGAAAGCCTCGAAAGGCAGCCGAAGTAAATAAAGCGAGTTCGTCAAAAAGTTGCGCAAATGCCAAACATATCGGAAATGGCCGCCACTGCGTGTCATAGTCGGGCGCGCGAGTGCATCAGCTGCATCATCTGCCTCATTCCACAAGATGCACTTTGAGTTGCTGGTAAAACAAAGGGTTATTTTCGTTTTTCATAGTAGTATGCATTTCCGTATGCGACTGATACACAGCCGAAATCGTTCATAGGTTCAGAAGGGGCCTATTATTGGATTTCATTTACCCTAGTTGAAACCTAGGTTCTAGGTTAAGAAAACAAGTGTAACCCCTTGCTTTGCCAGCAGAGTTGAATAGTGTAGTAAAGGTTTTGATGGTGACTCACCTTGGCAGGCCGGCTTGTGCCCGGACCAGCGGCGGTCGGCGCCGCAGCGTCTCGTCGAGTCGCCCACTAGCGAGTAGCCGTAGTTGCACTCGTAGGACACGACCGAGTTGTAGGCCTGGCGCGTGTAGATGGCGCGCCCGTTGGTGGGGTTCTCCGGGGCGGGACACTCCACCTCTGCAACCACTGCGCAACCACAGACCATTTCTACATACAAGAACCACGCGAAATTTGCCAGAAAAAAATAAGAAGGCCGGTAGAAATTATATTTGTATCGTTTCCCCATTGCGTTCGGAAGTATACTTCCTCTTATAATCAAATTATTATAATCAAAGGAAAAGTAAAACAAAAGGGTAAAACTGAATTCAAATAAAATTGTTTTTAAAAATTTGAGGGGTTTGTTGTCGCGAAGAAGACAACTTTTTCCTCTGTATGGCGCGGCCTTTTTAGCTTCAGTAGCAGATCTGGATTTAACGACTAAGTCGTCAGTGTTTCGATAAACTTGTTTCCCGCAATGCCCAAAGACTTTCTCGTGATCACTGGTGAGGATGCCAGGATGAAAATGAACAAGAAAATGTGAGAAAGGAGCGGAAAACTGATGAGACAGAAAACGTTCATGTTATGTATGAGATTGCGTTCTGCCTAAAGTCAGCTACATGAAAAGAAATCTACTGGTCGCTACAGCTAATATTGGTGGTGCTGAGGGTGTAGTGAGTGCTAGGAAACAGAAAAGTCCTCCGTGAGCCTTGTTTTGTGACTAAAAATGCATTATTTAGGGAACATGTACCGTCAGGGTTTCGTCGGGTTAACGTCGTTGTGACTATTTTAGAATGTTTCCAATTTCGCCATGCAAACTCTGTTAAAAATAAATCTGAACCAGACATGGACACATAGTGCAATTATAAAAGGCGTCGTGCTTGGCTAAAGAGTAAAACAAGTTCTGAAATATTTTCTTTTTTTTCTTTTTTTATTCATTTTTTGATCGCTACACCCGTCGTCCGGGGATTTTGTCGTGCGACCACAATGCGATATAGCTGCCTGTATCGAGGGAGAAATCACTTGCGTACTAACTCGTACACCCATGCTTGTACTGACGTACTACTGTGTACTAGCAGCGTAATAACGCGTAATAATGGCGCCTTAATGGTTAGAGAACTCGCGTAATATCACAAAAATAACGTAATAATGTAAAAGTTGTTTTGCAACGACACAAAAATATGATGTACTCAGGTGTACTAACGTTCTAGCTTGTGCACTCTCATCTGGAGTGATTTCCCCCTCGGCCTGTGTAGTGCACTGCAAGCCATAGGGGCGCCATAGGCAAGTGTGCAAACAGTGACAATCTACGGACGGCATAACACGACGCTTTGGTAAGCGGTTTTAACGATCATGACAATTATGACACTCGTTATGCAAATATCAGCGGAAAATGTCCCATGCGTAATTAGTGTGAAACGACCACTGTTTTTGTTAATTTCGAGATTTTTTTAATGTGCAAAATATGCAGTCCAGCCCCTGATGTGCACGACACTTGGTTGGGTGAAATCAAAGTGCCTCTACGTAAGCTAGGCGGGTCGGTCGGCACGGTGACTCGAGGCGCTGGCCTGCTAGCTCCATAAAGTTTACATTTTTGATCGTAAATGTTCTTCCCCTCCCTTGGATTTTTGGCAGCTTATTCAACCCCAACGTGCCATTGCTGATCAAAGTTTACTAATGAGAACGTTTTTCGTTAGTAGACCGCAGTTAAATTGTCCTCATTGGCTGCCACGCAACTCCCGCCGTGGTCTGTCCAAAAGGAACAGAAGGTAACCACCGTGCTAACACACGGGAGTCTCTGCACGTCAAAATCGTATGGACGATTTCCGAGTGCCATTCATATTTAAGAGGTAATTTAAGATATTGAAACCGTTGTCTGTGAGCCCACTTATGCCCGTACCGAGGAAGTGGCCGGCCATACAGAAATAAAACAAAGTGTGTTCTTCTCAATAATTTATTGAGAACATTATTGACAGAGACACTTAAATTAACACAAAGTACAGCACACGGCTCACCCCGGATAACTATTGGTAACGAGAGTGCCGCAGAGGCATACTGCAACAAAACCGACATTTGCCAGCGACGAAAAATTAATGATTAATTAATTCTATTACAAGTTTAGCCGCCAGGTTCTGAATGTATATTAACGGTTTCTATATGCTTGGACTACAGGAGTTATTTGGGTCGTCTGGTTTGCGGTTTGAACTAGAAATGGAAAGCCCCGGCACCGCCCCGAGCCGGTCTAAGTCCTCTAGCAACCGTGGATCTTAGCCAACTACTCTAGTGCTTTCGCGTATGGGGTTCGATGCAGGTGCTATTTTCTAGTTCAAATATTTACCTGTCGTACAGCCTGAAGGTCCAAATTAACATCAAACACACCAATAATACAGTATTAGCCAGAAATACACATGGACAATGTGCAAAGAAAAGTGAGAGGATAACACAGTTAGTCAAGATTGAGATCGAGAGTTAGATGAAGGAGATGCATCTGTTCTCTTATTAGCCTATAGCACGTTAAGCAATATTATAAGACAGGCGCATGTTAATGTTAAGTGCAGGTCGAGCTGTCCTCTCCGCAACCTAAGGGGCAAGAGTCACTAAACAGCACTGGAAAGCACAAATCATTAGTCCATACAAGGAACGCGACTCTGTCAAGTGCTACAAATAAAAATCGGAAAGAGAAAAGAGAACTAAGTAAATATCCTCTCTGCCTGCTTTTTCGGTGCTGCTGTGGAAACAGACACTTCTTGTCTCTCTCTCTCTCCTCTAACGTCAATTGGCATATTGTCCATTTCCCACTGAGGAGGCAGTGATCGTAAAGACTCGACTAGCTGTCGTCGTGAATGAGATGAGAGTGGTGATGGCGACGACTAAAACTACATGCCTGGCAGTACGGGCTTAAATACAGGCTACCGAACTTGGGCGAAATCGAGGCACCTCCTATAATTTGCTCGAAGCCGACAAAAATTACTCTTGCAGCCAAAAAATATCATGGGAGTAAACATTGATATTTTTTGAATTAAAAAAATAATTTTGGACGTATGCGAGTCATGTGCCTACTTCCCAAGTTTTCAACTAAAATGTCACATGTTGACGGATTGAACTATGTCATACCGTGGGTGACATTGTTGAGGTTTCCAAATCGATTCTACGAGTTACACAATCATCAAGTCTCTACAACGGACTCAGCGAATACAGGGAGACAGAACAGACAGGACAGAGGGGGAGAGAAGACAGAGAAAAATGAGGTATGAATAGTAGTTGATGAACAGCAAACAGCGATCCTACTTGATTCCATGGGCCATTTTTTTCGAATGACATTTTCTACTCTCTTTTTTAAGGCCGACAGAACACTTAAGCAACATCAAATTTATTAATTTTAATAATAATCGTGACTAATCAAACTCGGAATGCTTCGCTCGCTCACTCGGGCGCGAAGGTAGTCCCCGCGGGGTCGTCGAGCTCCCCTCGGGGCTCGGGGGGTTCGGAACTCGGTTCGGAACCTCGGTCGGAACGCCACTTACGCACACAGGTGGGCAGGTCCTTGGGGCTCCAGGTGCCGTCCGCCTGGCAGGTCCGCTCGGCCCGGCCCACCAGCTCGTACTCCTTGGCGCACTCGTAGGTGGCGCGGCAGGTGTACGTGTAGCACGAGGCCTTGTGCCAGCCGTTCTCCGGGTCGGCGGGCTGCCCGCAGGTCCGGGCTGCAACACGGCCACCGTCGTCTGAGCGAGTGTGCGGCGCGACCGGGGTCGAGGACGGGTGTGCCAATACTCACGCTCGCAGGAGATGTCCGGGCCGAACCAGGACGCCGAGCCGCCCATGGCCAGGCACTTGGCCGTGGGGAAGCCGTTGGTCACGTAGCCGGAGTGGCACTGGTACTTGAGGGTCGTGCCCACGTCGAACGTGGTCTGGGCGGGCAGCGCGCTGTGCCGGGCGTGGTCCATAGGCGGCGGAGTGCGGCAGTACACTGGAGAGAAAAAGTACAACACGACTCTAGCACCGTACCGCTCGTTTCAAAAACGAAACGTTCAGATAAACGATGAATAATGTGGGTGTCCAAATAACACCTCAGCTGCAGCTGGACACCTTACCGCTCTTGCAGGTGGGCGCCTGGCCGGACCACTTGCCGTCGGCCTGGCAGGTGCGGACGCGCAGCCCCACCAGGTGGAAGCCCGCCTCGCACGTGTAGGTGGCCGAGTCGCCGAAGAAGCGGCCCGTGGTGGTCACGTTGCCGATGGCCAGCTGGTCCAGGTCCGGACACTCGCGGTCTGCGGACAGCGGATAGACATGGAGAACAACGCTCAAACCACGAGGAACAGCGGGCAACTTTGACCATCGATCGTTTTTCTAACTGTTAAAAAAAATTAGCTTCACGCTGCTTCACAGTATTCTGGAACAAATTGTCCCTGAATTCGAAGAAAACGCGACATAGTAAGTCAGCGTACCCCCCGCACACGTGCCGTGTGCTGGTCGTGGCGCGTCTCCCCCTTCTCCCCTGTATCCACCCCCGCAGCTTCTCATCCTCCTCGCTAGCTAAGCTACGATGGCGCCCGGGCGTTTTAATCGGCGCTGCGAATCTTCACACCCTGGTAGACATGAGTTATCTTCCCGATCTGATCTCTGCACCGCCCCCACCCCGTCCCCGCCCCGCCCCCGCTGGAGGTGAGGTTGACTGCCCCTCCGTGCCAGCCATGGCCGCCGCGGCACAAAATCATCCCCTTTACTCTTGCCTTGCCCCTGAGTCAGTCGACCGGGCGGGGCGGCCGTGGTGGACGGCACGACGCCGCTCCGCTCCTGCCGTCGTCGGCGCGATATTAATTATCGGCCTGTAATCGGATATCGGCCGCCCTGCTCCGCCGGCTCCAATAGGGACGACCGGGACGACCGTATAGACGGGCCGATAGACTGCGCGATACTGTACACGTGACGGGGCAGGACCTGTGCGCCGGGCGGGGCGAGGCGGGGCGGCTGCGTGACTTGCGGCGGCCAGACGCGGAAAAGAGGCGAGACTGGATGGGGCCGGGGGTGGCGGGTCGAGGGGTGAGGAGGGAGGGAGCGAGGGTGCTCTCCGATGCGGCTCATTGCCCAGCTGCCGCTACCCCTTTGGCCTTTGGACTTTATCTCACGGAGAGCACGCGCGTTTAAACTTTGATGGTCTCCCGCTCTCCCGCCCCCGTGCCCGTTGCCGTGCGGCTCGGCGGCTGAGCTGTGCTGTGCCCGGGCGCGGGGCCGGGGCGCTTGTGCAGGGCCCCCTTTCTTGTCCCTTTGCACGCGGAGAAGGCGACGGGGCCGTGGGCATTACCAAAAAAGTTTTGCCGAATCCTCCATAGGAGAACCTGGGGGGCGGGGGGGAAAGAGAATCGGGACGGTGGAGGTGGGTGGCTGTGGATAGTGTATGAGGAGCCGTACTGTCCGGCCGATAAGACAAAAACGGCATTCTTCGAATAATGTATTGAGCTTGATGTGTTGTGCGTCCGAATGAGAAGGAGAAGAGGGAATCTGCTGAGGTTAGAGTAGTGACACCGACTCTACGTAGGGCGTTTTGCGTTCGTATCTTTTTATTTTTCCCTTTCATTTATATTTTATTTTGTTTCGTCGCTACGCACTCCCTCCCCGTTTTATCCCCTCTCTCTTTTCTTTTATTTCCCCGAGCCTCCTTTCTGCCACCACATTCGGCGCCAAAGTCATTTGTTACTCCCTCATTAGTGCTGTCAATGGAGAGGTGCCCCCACCCCT